AGCTGGTGACGGGGGCTGGGGCTAGCTTTAGGAGACTTTTGTGGGCCCGAAGAACGTGGCTGGTGACTAACTTAATTATTCCCACGCTTCATCTGGAAGAACTTCCCCTTCAGCCCATCGTTCCGGTTCCCAATTCAGCGCTGCTTACCCACCCCCCGCTTCCACCTCTGCTGAAGGCCAGAAGCTGCGCAGCAGCAAGGGACCGCTCTTACCTGCTGCTTTCCTGGCTCTCGCGTTCTCCTCCCGGGCGGCTGCCCCGGCCGGCCGCCCCGGGCCCAAATGCGATCAGGCGGGAAGGCGCACGTCTAGAACGACTCCAGCCGTGTCGGTATCTGCCTCACGCTGCCCGAACATCACCAACCGGACGCTGGAAAACGTGTCTGCTCCCCAGGCGAGAGGGCAAGGCTGTCCAAGGCTGTCGGAGCTGCTTCCCGGGGCAGGCAGGCTGCTGCGGCGTCGGAAACGAGGCCAACGTGGCTAAGGACAGACACGCTGGGCAACAGCACCTTTTTCTCTTCTGCAGCCGCTTCCACGCGCTGGAGAAACATCCAGGGCTGAGGCAGGAAGTCAAAGAAAGGCAAATAAATGAACTTGGGAAGGGAAATAGGGAAGTGGAGGAAAAAACCACAGGGAAATTCTCTCTCAAAGCCTCCAAGATGTGAGAGAGGGAGAAGGAGCCGGCTGTGAAGAAAGGGGAGCGAAAACAAGGGAAGACCAGAATTCCGTGAACGTTGGCGTGCCTCGGTCTCCTGGCTGGGCGGAGGCTACAAAGAGCGAGGCCAGGCAGATTAATAAAAAATGATGCTTTATTTTAAACGCCGCTACTGTCGTGGGTCATCAAAATAGACTTTGGAATAGTGACTTTAAATATGAGGTGACGCATGACAGCTAAGAATTGAAGCTACGCAAAATACCCTAAAATGGTAAATTAAAGGACCTAAAATTTAAATATTACAGATGACAATTTTCCAAAGGTAAAAGGGAATAAAAATATTCTCCAGAAAAAGTAACGTGGCCAGTAAAACCGTACTACAAACGAAAATGAATGAGGCTGCACGTGGAACGCTTGGAGAGGACTCCTTTCTGCCACTGACAGGAGAAGATCCACAAAGCTAAAATCTCACGGCTTAAATTACATCGCTCTAATGATTTCTCTTACTTAAAACCAGTTCAACAATCCAGGATAATCCAGGATAATCCAAGGAACCGATGATAAATTGCACTTCTATGCGTGGTTCTGCAGTGGGGCTGCTGCCTCTGGCGGGGGAGCGGTGAGCGCCCGGACCTTGTCGCGCGCACAGCTCTTCGGAGCGGGGTCCTCGCCACGGCCGGGCCGGGCGCAGCAGCCGAGGGCTCCTGGCAAAGCTCTGCCACGAGCAACGAGAAACCACGGCCGAAGGGGAAGCAGGTCTTGGCTTAACGCTTC